AGCCTCAGTCCCTGCTCTGGGGGCTGAGATGGCTCTTGGCTGGGACCTCAGTTCTCCACCTGGCTTCGAATCTGCCAGGAGGCTAGGCTGGGTGTCTTCCCAGCTTGGTGGTCTCAGGCTTCCAAGATGGTGAAGGGGGAAGCCTTGCAGTCTCTAAAGAGCCAGCCTTAAATGCCCAGTGTTGCTCCTCTCCACCACATTCTGAGGGTCAGAGTAAGTGAAGAAGCCCAGCCCAGACTTAAAGAGCAGGAAGATCGATTCTGCCTCTTGAGGAGAAGAGTTCCAAAGAATCTGTGGCCACATTTAACTTACTACAGGCCTGAAGGCTCCGGTAAGAATCTGTGGCCACATTTAACTTACTACAGGTCACTCGGCCCCCAGTTGGCTCATATCTAACATGCCACTGCCCTCCTCCCTCAAACCAGCATCATGAATGAGTTGGTATTTGCCAGGTGTGGTAGCACACACCTGTAATCCCAGCTACTAAGAAAGCCAAGGCAGGAGGATAACAAGTTCAAGGTCAGCCTGGGGCACTTGGAAAGACCCTGTCTCAAAATAGAAAATAAAAATTGCCGAGAATTTACCTCAGTGGTACAGAACCCCTGGGTTCAATGCCCAGTACCACAAAGTTTTAAAAAAAAATGCAGACCACTCTATAGATGTCACTCAGTTAAGAATGACATTTGGCTTGGCAATTGACTGCATTTTAAAGATGGCACTAACAGTCAGGCACAGTGGAGCACACCTGTAATCCCAGCTGCTGGGGAGGCTGAGGCAGGAGGATTGTAAATTCAAAGCCAGCCTCAGCAAAAGCAAGGCATTAAGTATCTCAATGAGACCCTGTCTCTAAATAAAATACAAAATAGGGCTGGGGATGTGGCTTGGTGGTTGCATGCCCCTGGGTTCAATCCCCAGTACAAAAAAAAAAAAAAAAAAGATGGCACTAACATATCTCCCATCCACATGCTATTCTTACAATGCGATGTTGACAAATCTCCATTAAGAGGTGGGATCATGTGTTCCCACCTCTTGAAACTGGATAGACCTTTTTTGGGGGGGTACCGGGGATATAACTCAGGGGCTGTTGGCCACTGAGCCACATCCCCAGCCCTATTTTGATTTTATTTAGAGACAGGGTCTCACTGAGTTGCTTAGAAGCCTCGCAGTTGCTGAGGCTGGTTTGAACTCATGATCCTCCTGTCTCAGCCTCTGGAGCTGCTGGGATTACAGGCGTGAACCACCGGGCCCAGCTTGAAACTGGGTAGACCTTTGTAACAACTTTGACCAATGGAAAGAGGCAGAAGCTGTGCTGTGTGGCTTCTGATTAGAAGGAACAATAGTTTCATCCTTCCAGTATGCTTTTCCTGAGAACCTTGTCACCGTGCTGTGAGGAAGCCCATGCCACACAGCGAGGCCCGGTGTGTCTGTCCAGCTTCTAGCCCTAGTTAGCCCTCAGCCGTCAGCAAGTATCAGCTGCCAAACGTGTGAGTGGATATGCCTTCAGATGATCCCAGCCCCAGCTTTCCAGTCTTCCAGCAGAGGCCCTAGACATTGTGGAGTGGAGATAAGCAATCCTTATTGTGCCTTGTCTAAATTCTTGACCCACAGAAGTCAGGGGAGAGCATAGTGCTTATTGATGTTTTAAGCCACTATATTTAGGATAATTTGTTATGCAGCAGCTGATAATTAATAAAATACGCTGGTAATTACAGACAAGAAACAACTGTGACTTAAGCAAACAAAAATTTGACTTCTCTTTCTCAATAGCCTCTCAAAATAGGCAACCCAGATCTGATACACAAGCTCCCCTGGTGTCATCAGAAACCAGGATCTTTTATCTTCTTGTTCTGCTATTCTCAGCACATGGCTACAATTTTCAAGGTGACCTTCTGATCCAAGACAGCTGTTGGAATTCCAGCTACCACATATGCATTCCAGACTTAAGCAAGGAGGGAAGACGAAAGTTGTTTTCACCAATATTGTTTCTAATTCAAGAGCATTGTTGGTAATTCCTTCCGACACCTTCTGTTTTGATCTCATATCCTAGATTTAAATCACACAGTCACACCATCTGAAATAAAACCGGGGTTCTATTGCTGAGGATGGGAGGAGAATATACAGTGGCCAAGGGGCAGTCAGATCTATGGGGTTGGAGCAAAAGATGGGAGACCTTCTTTGTGGGGAGGAGCTGGAACCAGCATGTCTGCTTCCCTGCCCACTGCAGCCTTTTAAAAAAATATTATGATGATTGATTTAGTGATACTGGGAACTGAACCCAAGGGCACTTGGCCACTGAGCTCCATCCCCAGCCCTTTTTATTTTGAGGCAGGATCTTGCTAAGTTGCCCAGGCTGGCCTCAAACTTTCGATCTCCTTCCTCGACCTTCCAAATGGCTGGGATTATGAACGCACACCACTGCGCCTAGCTCCCACTCGAGCCTTCTTGAGTGTCTGGGCACCATAGGGTTTTCCACTTCAGTTACTTCTGAACAAAGAGGTGATTTCACTCCCAAAGTGAGGCAGTGGACTGGCACCCAGCAGAGCTCTGATCTCTAACTCCATCCTCTCACGTGGCCATCAGGCAGCTGCATTTTTGCCAAACACCCTAACATGCAGCCCTGATATTATCACTTCCCTTCCCCAACTGCCTTCCACTAGTTTGTCCCACTTTAAAGACAAATTCTGGAGTTTGGAAAGGAAGCCACAACAGATTCTTCCAGGGCTCTCTGCTACTACTTTCTTAGCACATCCTGCTTTGTGCCCTTTTCCCAGGACTTCGTTCAGGCACTGGCCCTGCCCAGAACACCTCTACCCTTGGTGAAATCCCATCCATTCTCAGTGCCCTTCTAGGGCCACCTTCAGCCCTTGTGGCACCTTTGTATAAATTAGAAGAGGGTGCCCTTTCCTCAAGCAGATACAGCTCCATGCTGGGACTTGCCCTTTAGCCCAGTGGCCTTGCACAGGAAACACCTCTAGCAGCCATACGTATGAGGATGCCATTTCCAGGCAACTTTCTGAGCTTAGTGAGTGAGGCCCTTCCCTTGCCCCTTATTCTCTTATTTTTTTTGGATCCCATGCTGGCCTGCCCCAATTTGGGGCTGACGGTTTCCAGCTTTGTGTCCTCCAACCTGCTCAGTGTCCATCCCCAAAACTGGTAATAACTTCAATAGCCACAGGGGAACTGAACCAGAGTCATAGGCCACAGCTCTTCCCTTTGTCCTCAGCATGCCCAGCAGCAGAATGGAATCTTCCATTGAGCTGAAGGAGGGGTCAACTTGGACAGTGCCTTAGAAATGATCCAGGTGCTGGGGCAATGGTGAGTTGGGAGGCCGAGATCAAACTTGCGATCTTCTTCCTTGACCTTCCAAATGACTGTGCCCTTCCATTTCATTATCTTTATTTAATCTGCACCTTCTCTGCCTCCTCCCTCCACTACCAGCCCCAGAGAGGGGGTGGAAGCCCCAGTTGGAAGGGAAGGGACTACTCTCTCCTCCCTGGGGGAGGGACAGTGTCCCCTGGGCCAGGCTCCACTGATGGGAGAAGCAGTAGCACCCAGGGCAAGGCAAGGGCATTGTCTAAGAGGCTGAGACAGGAAGAGGCCAAGTTCAAGGCCAGCCTGGACAATTTAGCAAGACCTTATCTTAAAATTTAAAAATAAGGGCTGGAGATGTAGCTCAGTGGTAATATGCCCCTGGGTTTAATTCCCACTTGCAGGAGGGATAGGGGGTGGGGGATCTAGACCACATAGGAATATGGAGTCACCTGCTCAGGGTAACTCAAAGCTGAGTCTCAGGGCTGGGGCACAGCTCAGAGACAGGGCAGGTGCTCAGTAGCAGGGGCCCTAGGGTCCATCCCCAGCACTACAAATAAACACAAACCCCTGAGTCTCAGAGGCCTCAGGCTGTGCCATGAGGGTCCCTTTCATCCTGCTCCTGAGAATGCTGGAGTCAAAATCTTGGTCCCCCACCCAGAATCCAACATTACACCTTGACCCAAGGAGGATATCCATCGTGTTTGCAGTGGTAACCTTGGACTCACCACTCAGGAATGCACAGAAGCCCTTCCATTCATATCTTTATTTAATCTGCACCTTCTCGGCTTCCTCCCTCCCCCACCGGCCCCTGAGAGGGGGTGGAAGCCCCAGTTGGAAGGGAAGGGACTACTCTCTCCTCCCTGGGGGAGGCGTGGTGTCCCCTGGGCCAGGCTCCACTGATGGGAGAAGCAGTGGCACCCAGGGCAAGTCAAGGGCATCGTCCAAGAGGCGGTGGCCAGGGCCAGGGCCCCTCGGATGTCCTGGCTCCCTGTGTGTCCCATGGATCATCAGGAAGGTGAAGACGAGAAGCCTTGGGAGAAATGAGCACAAGGTTGGGGTGTATGCGTGGCTAACAGAGGCAGACAGGAACTTCAGGAGGCAGAGTGGAGCCCAGGGACTGTGGGGGGCCTAATGCGAGCCCCAGGTCACAGGGGAGGGATCTGGGTGGGAGAGGGTGTATGGGCACTAGGGAGAAGAGCAGGATGGGCGAGACTGTGCTCCCAGAACCAGGCTCCCAAAGGAGAGGGCTGCATTGCAGGGTCAGATCAGGGACTGCCCTGGAGCAGAGGTGAGAGGGTGGGCAGGGAAGGACCTAGCATGTGAAGGGGGTGGGAAATTTGGGTGGGCAGTGGGGCCGAGGCCACCATGCTGCCTCCTCCAGCTCTTCTCTTTGGGGAGGCCAACCCAGTGGGCATGGCCCCAAACCACTACATTGTGCTTCTGTGTTGCTGGAGGGCTCCCAACATGGCCTCAGCCAGGGCAGGAAGGAGCCCAGCGTGCAGCTCTCTGTTGCAGGCTACAGCTGTCTCCAGGACTCCTCCTCTTTCCAGCCTTTCTGGAACCTTCCTCTCCTGCACAATGTGCAGGGCCCCCAAGCCTGGTCCTGTACCATTACAGGGAGTGGAAGGTGGTAGTTGGGGGGAACCATGCTGGGGATGGATATAGACTCAACATAGGTGGCGTCCATTTCCCATGAATGACACAGGTCACTGCGTTTTAGTTTAGGGAACCCCGGCCCCGCCCCCACCCCTGATGTGTGGCTGGTCTGTTCTCCCTCGTGTTTTGGACAATTATTCAGGTATCTCTGCCCATGGTGAGGGGTGGCTCTGGGGCTCTCAGAGTGCACCCTGCCCATCCCCCCGGCAGCCACTGTCCCCATGGACAATGAGCACCGGGAAGTAAAGGGCATCCTCATAGCACGGTGGGCTTTCCAGGGGCTCCGTGTCCTCTCCACGGCGCCCTAGTGGCCCCCCGCTCAGGCTGCGGAAAACCCCAGGCGTGGCCCGGCCTCCTGCACCCAGGGAAAGGCGGCTGCGGCTGAAGGGCAGGCGGGGCCCACTGGGCCGGGCAGGGGGCAGCGAGTTGCTGCTGACAGAGCGGCGACAGCGCTGGCAGCCGCGCAGGTAGGCGCCGGAACCGGCGCCCATGACCACAGCCTCTGAGTAACTGGGCACCAGCTGTCGATTGGAGCAGATGTGCCACTCAAGCTCGGTGAAGTCCACCGTGGCCACACGGGAGAGAGGCGGCCCGCTGGGCACGGCCCCCGGAGGGGGCGAGCTGGCGCCGAACAGCTTCTCCACCTGGTAGTGCACGTGAGCGGTGCCATAGGCCGCCACCACGCGCAGTGGCCAGGACAGCGTGGCTGCCGACACCAGCCAAAAGACCCAGGCGCGCGCATACCAGGGCGGGCTGCGGGGGTCTGCGAAGACCATGAGGGACTCCCGGAAGTCCACATCCTTCAGGTGCATGCCCTCGCGGGCCTCCAGGTAGTCGTCCAGGCCCTCATTGGCGCTGAAGAAGCGCGCGCGCTGCGTGAGGTACGAGGCCTCGGCCTCAGCGCTGCCGAAGCTGAAGCACTTGGTGAAGCGGAGGCGTGTGGCCGCATGATCGGCCAGGCCCACCAGCTCCTTGGAAACGTCGCGGACCCCATGGGCAGAGTAGTCAAACTCGCCGCGTGCAGTGCGACTGTCGGCCCTCTCGTGGTAGACCTGCGTGGTGGTGTAGGCATCGCCGTTGCGGTAGCGGGTGATCTGGCGTGTGCGCCGCACGTAGTGGTAGCTGGTGGCCTTCCACCAGACGCAGGGCGGGGCCTGCTGTAGCCGGTGGATCAGAGCAAGCACGGTGTTGGCGTCCGTGCGAGGTGCCTGGCATGACCGCACGTGACAGTGCCAGCACTCAGCCAGGTAGAGGAGGTAGAGGAGGGAGACAAAGGCCAGTGGGATGTACAAGTAGCCATCCGAGCAGGGGCTGGCCGGGTAGGTGGGTGGAGGACCCCCTGCCCCACGTGCCAAGGCTGCCTCGGGCCCCAGGACGAGACGTGGCACGGTGGCGAGGCGACACCAAGCCACCACAGCCCCGCAGGCATGGATGAGCAGTGTGAGGAGCAGGCACTTCCAGTGCGACTCCCGGCACAGGGAGCTTCCAAAGGACTGCTTCAGGGGCCGCTGCTGCAAGGTGGGCAGAGACAGGGAGGATGAAGTCAGGATGGAGCCCATGGTTGGGCCAGTCACCCTGCTTAAGCCCACCCTGCTCAGGTGGTGAAGGAAGTGGTGCCCCAGGACCACTGTGTAGAGCAGAAATTGAGGCTGTAAGGAATTGAGTCCACTGCTTCAGACCTTGCTGCTGGCCAGCCCAGTGCTACTGCAGGATCCAAACCCAGGCCCACCACCTCTGAGCCTGTCTTCTACTGTGCTGGCTACTGAGAAAATTGAGTGCTGGTGGTTCTAGCTCTACCCTGATTTGCTGTGTGGACTTGGCCATATCCCTGCCCTCTCTGGGCCTTGACTCTTGGCCCTGGTGGTCTGGGAGGCCAGACTGGCAGGGGCCCAAGGGTCCAACAGGATGAGCTTTGGAGTTTAACAGCCCAGGATCTGATGCTGCTCTGCAACTTACAGGATAAATTGGGCAGGTCCCTCATACTCCCTGGACCTCAATTTCCTCATCTGTAACCTGGGGTTGTGAGGATTCAAGGAGATTGTAAGTGTGAAGATATTAGCACAGGGTCTACCCATGGGAATAAACATTATTACTGTTATCCTGAGACTCTCTCAGGTCCTTATTCCACTAGGGACAGCAGGAGACTTGGAGAAGCTTTTAAGTCAGTGAGAAAGAGGGAGAGCTGGGAGTGGGGGAGGTGTGAGTCTTGGGGTGGGGAGCAGATGGAGGGCCGCCCTCCACTCCCCATCTGTGCTAAGGGAGTGGGAGGGACACAGCTGCTGGGCAGCAGGGGCCACTCTCTGGCCCTAGGGCTTGGCCCGCCCTCCTCAGCAGGGCTGCCAGCCTGGCCACCTCACCCCACGAGAGAGAAGAGGGTGGGGAGCATGGAGAAGAAGGTTAAAAAGGGGCAGAAGGAGGCAGAAATAATAGAGGTCAGGTTATATGGCCACATCTCCTACCCAGACCCACAAGGCCTTAAGGAGAGGAGAACTGGCTCCAGCCCCACCCAGGGCAGCCTATCTCCCTCACCCAATACCCAGCCCCACATGGCCAGTCAGGTGCACATACCACTCATCCACCTCCAACCAGTGTTTATCACAGACCCCTCCCCAAGGAGGAACACATGACCTATCATTGAAGAAACATCAGGCCTTCACCTGTCCCTAAAGCACAAACCCTTGCAATCACATCAAGGTGCACACACATACCACCACCACCACCACCACAGCACGTACACATGCACATACACGTCACGTACTCTATAAATCCCAGAGACACACCAGACCTTCACCTCACCACACTGCACATGCCCCACCTCTACAGCAACCTGACACCCACACGGGCACTCCATGCCAAACCACAGACCCACCCATGACAGGACACATTCACACACATAGGCACTGCTGGGCAAAGACCCAAGCCAAGGGACCCACCAGATCCTCAAGTGATCATAGGGCACACAAGTCCCACCTACCCGAGTGTAGGGAATATACACACTGGAATTCTCACACACACCCCACACATGGGCATGCTACCTTCACTCACCACCGGCCACCATACCCCTCACCCCACGGCACAGGGTCCCTGCAGATCTTCCTGGCTAGGTTGGAGGAGGATCTTCCTGGGGGTTCCAGCAGGGTGACCCTTAGGCCTCACCAGAAGGAAGAAGGGGTACCGAGGCCGCCTCCCTTCTCATTGCCCTCTTCCCTCCCCCACCCCCAGGCCCTGTCACTGCTGCTGCATTGCAGGCGCCGCCTGGCACCTCGTGAGCAGCTGAGCCGGGCTGGGGGCCTGACCCTGTGGCCCTGGGGGTGGGAGTCAGCATCCCAGGCTGTGCTGCGGCACGGGAACGCGTGGGGGCCAGGCGCTGACGTCACCGGACGGGCTAGGACAGTTGAGGGGGCGCCGAGGGTGGGAGTCACCTCCCCATTTTCCTGCCCAGTCGCCCCACTTCTTGCCCGCCCTTAGGTCTGGGACCCCTGCCCGAATGCGGGCTTTCCGATGACGTCATTGGCTATAGGGGCTCCAGGATTTCCCTCTTCAACCCCCTTCCTGGGGGTCATCCCCTCTGCTAGTCTCCTTCGCCCGGCTCCAGCCCCGGCTCCGGTCACCAACCACCCAGCGCAGGTACCTCCTCCCGAAGCGGCTCGCCGTCCGGGATGAGCGCAGGCACCTCCCCACCGTCGCCACAGCCGCCCTCTGGCATGGTGTTCTGGCTGCTCCGGCGGCCCCGGCCCAGGCCCGGGGCATGATAGGGGAGACGCGGAGGGCTGCGGCGCGGCCCCGAGGGGCGTCCGCTCGGCTCGGCGGCCGCGGAGGGAGTGCGCCCAGCCCCAGCCCGAGCGCGGCGGCGGCGGCGGCGGCGTTGGCGGTGCCCGGCGCCCCGCCCTCCGCTGACCCCGCCCCCGCGGCACCGGCGGCGCCGCCGGTAGCGCCTGGCACCGCGGGCTCTCCCCAGCCCCCCAGAAGCCGTCTGGGCTGCCGGACGCCTGGGTATTCTTCTGGTCGCTCTCGCTCTTGCGACCTTGAGCAAGTCCGTGCTCTACGACTCCTGAGTTGCCCAGGGCTGTAAAACCAAGAAGGTGAATCTTGAAGATGTGTGGGTGCCCGATGCGTCCCATCTCTAAGGGGTAAGCCTAGAGCTAAGCCCACCCAGAACTCACCCTGGAAGCCTCATTTGTTGGGGCATTTACCATCCAGAAAGGCTTATGAGCCTCATCCACTGGGCAGTGGCACTAGGCTCCTCTTACAGCAGGTGAGCTGGGGATTAGGATATTGGGGACCTTAGGCTGCAAGACCTTAGGCTAGCATACTTTACCCCCAAACTCAATTTTTCCTTCTGAGAAATGGGGGTGGAAAAGTGCTGGAGTAAATTCACAAGCATTCATCAAGCCATGTGGGGCAGTGGGGTTTGCCCTTGGTGGGCCTCCTACACGAGGCCCCAGTGCTGCTCCTTGGCCCCTAACAGCCTCACATCCTCACACTGTGCTTTGGTTTGGGCCTTAACCCTAAGCTCACAATCAGTGGATGGAATATAGGAAGCTGCAATACTGGGTGAGTTATTTTGGGGTGTGTGTTTAAGCAAAGGGATAATCATTTAAAGATGACATAACAGAGAGAATGTGTGTGGGGGGGGGCGGAGAGAAAGAATAGGTCTAGGGTTACATCCATTTACTTATTTATTTCATCCATTTATTTATGATTTATTTATGGTGCACAGATGTTTATTGAGTGTCTCCTATATGAAACTACCATGCTTGGCACTGGGCCTGGGGAGACAACTGTAGGAGTGGACAGTGAAAAAGGCTCTGTCCTCACAGCACCTACATCCAGGGCAAACTGAATGCAAACCAGAGGGCACTTACATCACAGGCGCTGGCCTCCAACCCATACCAGGTCAGGCCTCTGTCCTCTTTGTTTCTCTGAGGCAAAGCTGAGTTGATTCTTAAAGGCTTTGAACATGTGGATATGAGGGGGAAGGGCATCCCAAGTGGAGGGGACCTCTAGTCAAAGGCACAGTGGTTGGATCACTGTGGGTTGAGTCTGGGGAGCAGGAAGGTTACCTGGTGTAATGGACACTAGGAAGCTAATTACAGGCAGGTCTCAGAGCCTGATCATACTCCCTAGAAAGGAATGCCTGAAGACAGGGAGGTGTTTGAAGATTGTCTCTAGGCAAAGTGGGAGTGATTTGAACCTGAGTGAACAGAAAGGATCCCCTGGGACAAGAGAGGTTTGGGGGCCTCACTTTGAAAATAAAGGACAAGCAATGGCTCAGGAGTTTCAGCTGCAGTTTCAGGAGATAACAGATCAAAAATCGGCTGGACCACTGGAGAGTCGATGGGACAGGCCCGGTGCAGGATCCTGCTCCACCTATACTACCCAACTTCTGGGACTTCAGATATTCTGGGTTTTAGATATGCACGCGCAGCGTATGGATCCAAATCTCAAGTCTTCCCAGCAGAGGCCCTTGCGGGCGGGTCTGCATGATGGCGGTGGAGCCGGAGAGAATTTTCAGCACCGGTCGGTGGACAGCACCCTCACCGAAAGGAGGAGAGGGAGGCGGGAGGAGTCAGAACTCTGGGGCTGTCAGCCTCTCAATCACTGCCAGGCCCCGCCTCCAACCAACACCGCTTGGTCGGTTGGTGTACCGCTCCAAAATTGGATGAAATATGAAGGACAAGAAGGAAATCGAGCGGGGAGAGGGAGGAGCAGGCGTCCCCAGGGACGGGGATTGGTCAGAATGCGACTACCCTATTCCCTCCTGGAATACGTCCCACTAATGAAGCTACGTTCTCTGACTTCAGCCGCTAGTCTCCTGCTAAGTCTTGCTCCTGGTGCAGTCGTGGCAGAGCGAGGGTCAAGTGCTCCACTGCGCAGACGCGGAAATAATTCACAACACCCTTCCACTTATTGGCTGTTCCCGCCTCGAATTAGCAAGCCCACTATCCAATCTAAGAGCGTCTCTAATTGCTCCGCCTATCCCTCGCCCGGAAGTTGGCTACAGCCGAATCTGCTTTAGCTAAGGCTCTCCAGTAGCCAATTGAGGGAAGGGAGAGGAGAATCGGAGCCGCCTAAGAGCCAATGGCAGGAGGCTTGGCATGACGCTACGGACATGGCGACCGCAATCGGTCAACTCCGGGACGTGTCGGGCCGCTGGGTAACCTCAGTCGGTGCCCGGGGAGAGAAGCAGCGGCCCTATTAGTAATCGTACCCACGAGGCAGCGCAACCGTCCCTCAGGGAGAGCGAGCGTCGCAGCAATGGCTTATCACTCGGGCTACGGAGCCCACGGTGCGTGAGGTGTGGGACGGGCGGGGCGCGGCCTGGCCGACTGGAGGAAAATCAGTGGCGCGGCCCGCTCACCCTGAGGGAGAGGGGCGGCCGTTCCCGCTGCCCAGGGCAGGGAATATCACTTGGGTTTCTGTCCTGCAAAACTGCAAGGCGTCCCGGACTTCATCCTTTCTACCCAATAGCTTGGATCTCCATGTCAAACCCGGGGTTCTCCAAAACTTCCTTTTCCATGTCATGATCACCTCTCAGTGCCTCTCGATAGCCAGCTGTTGTTTTTCCTACCCTTGTTCTTGCAGGGATATCTTTCCAGTTATCTTCACCTTGCAACTTCTGCTCACTTTCCATGACTGGGTTGGGAGCTCAGAAACCCCAGGTGGACAGCTACTTCCAGGCTCTCTTCCTTTGCCTATGCTTAGTAAAAGATTTTCCGCAAAGGATTCCTCATCAAAGTTGTTTCTGAATTACCTATCCTTCACACAGCTTGATTTTCCTTCACTGATTGCCTGGTGCACCCAGGTTTAACATGGGGCTGCTCAGCCAGAGGAAAGGACAGGGTTTTGGGCTGTGGTTTGGTATTCCTTTCACCCACTCTAGTACTTCCAAATTCACAGGTTCCAAGCACAGGGCCCGGGCAGCTCCGGATTCCCCTCCCCTCTTTGATGATACAAGCGGTGGTTATTCCAGCCAGCCTGGGGGATACCCAGCCCCAGGAGCCGAGGTGGCCTTCAATGTCAACCACTTGCTTGGGGACCCAATGGCCAACGTGGCTATGGCCTATGGCAGCTCCATCGCATCTCATGGAAAGGACATAGTGCACAAGGAGGTGTGGTCTGCCCCCAGGGAAAGGGGTGGCAGGATTTCTGGCTAGGGCTGGGATCCCACCTGATCTTCATAGTGGCCCTCAGGGAAGGAGCACACAGGAGTACCCTCAGGCTCTGGATGTGGCTCCCCCACAGCCTCCTCTCTTCCCTCCCAGCTACACCGTTTTGTGTCTGTGAACAAACTCAAGTATTTTTTCGCTGTGGACACAGCCTATGTGGCCAAGAAGCTAGGGCTGCTGGTCTTCCCCTACACACACCAGGTGAGCTTCCTACCAGGTAAACGGGCAGAACCCCCCCCCCCCCCCTCCGTTGGTCAGACCTCAACTCCCTTCTCTCTTTTCTCTTCTGCTTCTGACCTGGCTGCTGCCACCACTGCCAGAACTGGGAAGTGCAGTACAGTCGTGATGTGCCTCTGCCCCCACGACAAGACCTCAACGCTCCCGACCTCTACATCCCTAGTGAGTCTCTGATCTGGATTGGGAGACACAGTGCCTTGTGGCATGAGCAGGAAGAGAGTCTTAACTTGATCCAATGTCTGCTTCTGGTGCTTTTTGTGTTGTGGTTGCTAGAACCCAGGTAGTTGGGGTGAAGTAACTAGTAAGAAACTTCCTGAATATGCCTTCAGTGTCCCCACAGCACTTTCTGCCTCTTAATCTGGACCATGTCCTTCATTAGCTTGGCGCCTTGGGCTTTGCCCTGCCATTTCCAGCTGTGGACTTTAGCCTGGTTCTTGCATTCCTTAGTAAAGCAGCAATAGTAGTAGCCTCTACCTCAAAGGATTGTTGTGGAAATTCAGAGAAGTGATGTGTGTTCAACATCTCCCCTGGCACATAGGAGCCCACAGTAAATGCTAGCCGTTATCATCATTAGTAGTTGTCTTCCAAGGCCTATTCCAGCTTTCCCTCCTCCAGGAAGCCTGCCTTAACCCCTTGAACAAGTAATTGCTCCCTTTTGGGTCCCTACAACTGCCTATCCACATGACACACATACTGTGCCGTGGCTGGCCAGCTATGCTGCTGACTTCTCCACCCTGTTAACTGTAGAGGACCAGGTCCAGAGTGGACACACTGAGAAGGATGACTCCAGAGGGGTCAGTCCCCAGAGAAGCTGCTAGGGAGGGCAGTCCACCCAGGTGCTCCAGGAAGGACAAATGTTCTTCCATACTTCATTCTATGTGCCTCTCAAAGCCACTGTGTAAGGCTGGCACTGGCATCCCCAAGTTACACGTTGAAGCCAAGGCTCAGAGGGACTTCAGTATCTTGAGACCACACAGCTATAGGTGGCAGAGTTGATTTCCTAACACCAGACACTGCCTTCTGGGAGGCACATCAGTCTGCTACCTCACAGGAGACAGAGGACAGGAATGATGAGGTTTAAATTGCTACTGAACCCCAGCCCCCACTGGCACTGAGCTCTTGTGAAAACTGCTCAGGGTTAAACTTGGAGTTCTCTGTGTTGTGAGGGTGGCCAGAGCTCATCCAGTGGCTGAGATGAAGTCATCCCTGTGGCCCTGGACTCTAGGGACAGCCTGGGTTGCCCACTGAACCTGTATTTTAACCCTAATAGCCTTGCAAAAAATCAAGCTCATCTTGTCTGGGATGTACTATGATCTTGGCTCTTGATGTGTTTTGGGGGGTGGGTACTGGGGATTGAACCCAGGGGTGGTTTACCAGTGAGCTACATCCCTGGCCCTTTTTGAGACAGGGTTTTGCTAAGTTGCTGAGGCTGGCCTCAAACTTGTGCTCCTCCTATGTTAGGGCCCTCAGTTTTTGGGATTACAGGCGTGTGCCACTGTGCCTAGACCATGATGTGGTTTCTGAGACACAGCAGGAAACTCATGACAAGCTTCCTAGCATGGGGTCAGGGGAGGGGAAGATGATTTGTGGTTCTGGGAGAAGATTCAGATGGCATTTATTCAGGGAGAGGACTGGTTGGAGAAGGGAAATCCTATGCAGGGTATTGGGGAACCAAATGTGGAGGTTGGACCATGTTGGGATATGTAGACAGGGGAAAATATGGAGGCACTTGGAATGTCAGTGGCCTTGAATGCCTAGCAAGGATGCTGTGGATGAGGAAGCCAGGTTGACAACCACCCTCTGACTCTTGGCAGCGATGGCCTTCATCACCTACGTGCTGCTGGCTGGGATGGCACTGGGAATTCAGAAAAGGTCTGTGCCAACCCCCCTTTTCTCCTTCCTGGTTCATCTCCCCACCTCCCTAGAGGACTTGTGCCAGACACCAGCACCATGTCTCAGCCCACACTTTGCTGCCCCAGCCTCCCATCTCATCCTTACACCTGCTACAGGATGACTGGTTCTGACCTGTCCCCTCCCATGGCTACAGATTCTCTCCAGAGGTGCTGGGCCTATGTGCAAGCACAGCACTGGTGTGGATGGTTATGGAGGTGCTGGCTCTGCTCCTGGGCCTTTACCTGGCCACCGTACGCAGTGACCTGAGCACCTTCCACCTACTGGCCTACAGCGGCTACAAATACGTGGGGTGAGCATCTTTGGGCTGGTGGAGAGGTGTTTGGGTGGAGGGGGCTTGGAGGAGGGGCCTACAGTCGTGGGTTCTAGGTCTATATAGCTATAGCCCTGAAGTATGGCCCTGTCATGTCCTTCCTCTATCTTAGCCACTAGCTCCACTCTGTTAGAGACACTGCTGTTTCCAGCAGTCTTCCCAGGAACTGAGTGACCTTTAAGATATTTAAGATATGTGGGATTCAAGAAAAGGGGTTTCATATCCAGGTCTTGGGCCTTACAAATCCATTTTGGTTCTGGGTCCCTGTGGGGACAGCTTGGGAATAAAGGGCCATGGTGGTGGGCAGGGTCTAGGGTGGGCCCAGGAACTTGGTGGGCAGGGTCAATCTCAGGCCTGGACCCTGTGGTCACCTGCTGCCTGCCTCCCCTAGGATGATCCTCAGTGTGCTCACAGGGCTGGTGTTTGGCAGTGACGGCTACTACGTGGCACTGGCCTGGACCTCATCTGCACTCATGTACTTCATCGTGAGTCTGGGCTGCCCCTTTTGCCTCCTCACCTGGGTCAGAGCTGGGGACAAGCTTCCCCCCCTGACCCATTCTCAGCACTCCTTTCTTTCAGGTGCGCTCTTTGCGAACAGCAGTTCTGGGCCCTGACAGTGTGGGGGGTCCAGCCCCTCGGCAGCGTCTCCAGCTCTACCTGACTCTAGGAGCTGCAGCCTTCCAGCCCCTCATCATATACTGGTTGACCTTCCACCTGGTCCGATGACTCCTAGCCCCAGATGGCACTGGTTTTTTCATACATTGAAAATTTGGTTTCCTTGACTTGGTGTGATCCTCATTTCTGGGCCTGGGGGAGAGCTACAACCTCTGGGCCTCTGCACTGTCCAGGGGACCCAACTTAGGGCTGTTTAAGAAGAGGGTGGACCCAACGAGGGCTTCCTAGAGGTTGTGGCCTTGGCACTGCCATGAAAGGCAGATGGAAGGGTTTCAGTATACACAAGTGGAAAAGTGAGGATGGAAGGGGCAGCTGTCCAGGAAGCCTGGAAGGCCTCTGATCCATCTGAGAGTGGGCCAGTGGGGCCTGAGGCTAGTGGGGCAAGATTAGCTGTGCTGGGGAATTTGCTCTGGGGTTCCCAGTCCACAGCCCACCATCTCACCCCATCTCTTCTTCAGGCCTTACAGGAGCAGACTAGGGCCCATGTGTTTGCAGTAGTTTATTCATAGTTTGTCACAAATGGCCGGGGAGGGGGTGCCGGACTCCTCCAGGCAACATAGAAAATAGGTTCAAGAGACAGGGTGGGCTGGGGTCAGGGCAAGTGGAGACAGGGCTGGAGAGGGAGCCTGGGGATGGGGGAGGGCAGAGTAGGAATGGGCTGCCCCCCTGCTGAGCCTGCTCATTCCCGGTGCGGGTGCCCCCACCTGTAGGGGGAGCCTCAGGGTAAGGGTGGAGGGGGGCGGCCCAGAATTTCCAGGGTCAAGCTCTACCTGGTGGCAGGGCCCAAGTTTTCCCCGAAATGGACCAGGCCAGAAGTCCCACCCCTTCCAGGACTGACTGCCATGCCTGACTACAGGCTGGCAGAGGAGCCCCTGCCCCTGTTTAGAGCTCTGCCTGGCCCTAGTCCAAGGGGGAGGGCTCTGAAGGCGGGGGTCCCCGCAGCAGCAGTTTGGGGAGTGGAGAGGCTGGGGGCACCAGTGCCCCCTCCCTCCCCAGGGCTGAGGCCTCTGCAGCCAAGAGGCAGGGCTGGGGGTGCACAGGCGTCCGGTCCATTCTGGGCTCGCTCCCTGGCCGGCTTCCCCCTTAGAAACTCACCAGCGTATAAACCATACTGTGGGAAGATAAGGCAGTGAGCCTGCGTCCTGAGCAAATCCAGCCACCCACCCAGTCACACCCTGGGTTTGCCCTCAGTCCTCAAGTTCAAAGGGCAGGAATTTAGGATTGGAAGCATGATCCCTAGAAGATCTCTTCCCTGAATTCTGACTGCCATGGGCAGGGTCTCACCTGTACAGGTAATAGAAGAAGGAGAGCAGGTAGAAGGCGAGTTTGCACCAGGACTCCTTCTGGCAGTAGTTAAGGATGTCAGCATTCATGATGGAGACCGCATCATACATGACTTCAGAGCCATCCGCAGGACGGTGGAAATACCTGGGACCGGAAGAGGCCTGATTACCTGCACCCAGCCCTCCGCCCCCATCTCAGTCTCCCCCAGGCAGCTGCTGCCCTCACCTCCAGAGGTGGTAGAAGAGGAGGGGGATGTTGAGGCCCAGGGTCACCCACTCTGCTGCACACAGAAACATCAGACAGAAGAGGCCATGGATGGAGTATTCTGGGACCACCAGCTGGGGAGTGAGGGTGAGAAGTCAGCGGTCTGGTGCCAGGGCAGATCCAAGCTTCAAGGCGGTTGGGAGTTGGGGTCTGGGAGGTACCAACCCACCATGAATTCAGGGATAAAAGGCCTCTGGCCTCCCACACCCCCTCAGGTGATAATGTGAATCAAATAGGCCCAAAGAGGAGGGCCTGGCTCTGGGCCACAGCCTCGGGGCAGTGCTGCACTGGGAGCCTTCTGCCACATCTGTGACACTGACCTTCCTCAGGAGGCAGCAGATGCGTTCGATGTTTTTTAAACGCTCGCGCTGTGGAGGAAGGAAAAGGCCTTGATGGGGAAGGCAACGGAGCAGGATCTGGGTGCTTCCCTCCCATTCCGCACGCGGCCACCAGGAGGCGGCAGAGCAGTCTCTACTGCATCCCCGGCACCGCAGGGAAGCAGCCGCGCGGTCCCCATGGCGACAGTAACCATGCAGGGGCCTTCACCCGCGTCGCCACGGCAACAGCCCAGAGCCTGGCAACTGCTGCCCCGCCAGGAGGAACCCGAGCCCGAAGCCCGCGCCAGGTGTTTGCTGGGGGCGGGGACAGCGAGAAAGGGGTATGGCCGCTGGCCCCCCCTACCGCACCTCCTCGACCCCACTCCCACCCCTGCGCCACCCGCGACAAATGGAAAGACAGATGGACGGACACACCTCGGCACAGCACATGTATCACTTACTGCCCGCGCTGGGTTCCCCTGGTCGATGGGGTTCTTGAAGTCGGTCCGCAGCTCGTCAAAGGCTATGATCTGGAGGAGGGGCGTGTGCCCGTCAAGGGTAGGGCAGCAACTGATGGCCTCCCACACCCATCCTTCCCTGGGATTGGAATTTGTATGCAGGGACGGGGCCATATAGAGGTTATTGCAAAATAGAGAAATTGAAGCCCAGGTAGGGGCAGGGCCTGGTCATGCAACAGTCTGGAATGGACTCCTAGTGTCCTGACACCCAATTTGGTGGTGTTCACTACAGCCTCTTCTCAAATATCCCAAGACATGGCCTCTTTTTACAGGGCCTTGTGCTGAGCACTAAAATCCCAGAGGCCTGGGACACAGCCCCTGCTTGGGAGGAGCCCAAGCTTTGGGGGGAGAAGTGATGGGGCCCTGGGGTATAGGAAGACCCCCTGCGGGAGTGATGGGGATTCAGGTTAACTCTAAGTAGGCGTTTGGTGAACAAATGAGAGAAAAGCAGTCCAAGCAGCAGGAATAGCAGGTACAAAGGCACAGGGTTGAAAGAACATTCAAGAAGCTGCATTTCAGATGCTGGGGTGAAAGTGTGAGGAGAGTGGGAAGAAAGGAGGGAATCGTGCAAGATGGGGCTGAAGAGATCAGCAGAGCTGGATTTGGGTCTCCTGTGAGGCCAGACCCAGGTGTTTGGGTTTGAACACAAGAGTAAGGGGAGTCATTTGTGGCAAAGTAGGGTAGTCAGGCTGAGGTCTTGGGGGTGGGGCACAGGCTGGCTAAACAAGACTTCCATCCTTGAGCTTTACTTATTAGCTCACTGACTGCTTGCAACAACCTAATGACTTAAGTGCTAATATTATATTCATTTGTTTTGCAGATGAGGAAGCTAAGACAGAAATTAAGTATCCTGTCCAAGGCCAGTCTGTTTGTAGAGTTACAAGTACTGATCACTTTGTCATACTCAGGCCAGAGCAGTATGGGGACTGTTGAGTATCTGGGGAGGGGTGCTTGGTGGTCTGAGGAGAGTGGCAGTGAAGAAGGGGAGGTGTAGGCAGATTCTACAGTTCTCCAGGAGCCAGATTGCAAAGGGTGCACACAGTAGGGGAAGTAAGACAGAGGGGCACAAGGTGTCTTCTCTTGGGGTGTCTGGCTGGTGGCAGTGTCCTCACTGGTGGGAAATTTCTGAGGGGAGTAGGTGTTTAAGAGGATGATAGCCCAGACCTGAGAGAAGCTAGCAGAGGAGCTGCTGAAGTTCCCTCCCCATCAGCTTGAGGCAGCAGTCCCACCACCCCCAAATATCCCAGACCCCAGACAGCTCAAAGGGAAAGAACATGGGCTTCCTAAAGGGAGCTGGGGCCATCTGGAGCTCCTCCCCCAACCCATCATTGACTCTGGGCAGCAGCCCGCCTGATAGGCATAGTGACAGGGTCCAGCAGGGAGCGGAAGGGTGCCGTCTGTCTGCCCCCAAGCTGGCACCACCAGCAGGCAGCCGGTGTCGCACCTCCCACCCCTCAGGCTGCCTGGCGCTGACTCAGCCCCCTGGAACAAACAATCCCCCACGGTGACAGCTGACACACGTCACTCACCACCAGGGTTGCCTAGCAACCAGTGGAACCAAGGTTCAGGGGCTGGAGCAGGATCTGGGGTCCTGCCCTGGAAGGTTCTAGTTCTTACCAGCTTTGGATGAAGGACCACACCTCCCGCCCCCTTCCCTCTTAGCCGACTTCACTCTGGGCACTGATGTCTAAAGCACTTACTGACAAGGTAACAGACTCTGGATGAATGGCTTGCTAAGATCACCCAGCTAAATGGCTGAGCAAACACTGCCTCATACATAGTAGGTGCTCCATAAATATTTCTTGAATGGACAAAGGTGTTACTTCAAAACTCAGGACCTTCCTCTCAGCCAGGTCACTCCACAAGGGCAAAGTTTGATTCTTATGTATCCTTGACTCCCTCAGAGCCTCCCAGAGCCTGAATTGACACAGGTGTGTTGGATGAAGGGACTCTGAGAATCCCCTGGGGCAGGGGGCTGAAAGTTTTTTTTTTTTTTTTAATTCTAGCAGCTGGCTAGCCTTATGTTCCCCAGGCTGTGGTCCCCAATTCCTTCCATTCCTTAGGACCCAAGCCTCCTCTCACCCCACAAGACTGTCCAAGGCTCTGAAAGGAAGGAAGGAGGGAGAAAAAAGAAATAGCCACTGCGAGACCCAGAGTGAGAGAGAAGCAAAAGCAGGAGGGTGCTGGAAATGGGGTGCAGGTCTGGATGTGCCTATGGGGGCTCATTCCTCTCACAGCAGCGGTGCAGCAGAGTCAATTGAATCCTGATGTGAAAGAGAAAGGCAGTGGAGTGGCAGATGGCAAAGGGAGAGCTGGGAGGAGAGTGCAAGGAGAACCATGGAGCAGGCAGCAGGTCCCAGAAAAAGAGAGGAAGTAGGAAGAGTAGGAAAGAGGCAGGTGAGGCAACTGGAGGAAGAGAGGAAGGACGACTACGGGAAGGAGTACAGGGAGAAGGCTTGGAGAGGGGTAACAGGACCCCGGAAGGGAAGGGAATGAAGATCAGGGCTGCATGTGCTGGAGGTGAGCAGGAGGTGTCAGTGGCTGCAACAGACAGGACTGGAGGGGTCCCAGTGGGACAGAAACCTCAGGGGGCAGAGGAGGAGAGAGGGCTGAAAAGGGGGGCCCTGACCCCAACAATAAGCTGGAGGCTGACTGATAGTTCTGTAGTGAGGGGAAGGGGGCCCAGTAGAGAAGGCCCTTGAGAGGGCCCCAGAGAGGATGAGCTAGAGGGACCCTCTCAGAGAAAGCAGGATGAGGGATGAGACAGGGACATTCTGAAAAACCAGGTGTGAAGCTAGGCCAGGGTGAGGGGCAGACCAGGTAGGTAAGCACAAGACAAAGGGGATGTGGGAGCAGAAATAGGAAGGAAGCTGGAAAGTGGAGCAGAAACCTGGGCAGAGGGGTACCCAAAATGAGCTGCGGTGCGAGCTAGGTTTCTGGAGCTGCTTAGAGCCCCTTCCTTGGTCAGAGAGGGGGCCAGGAAGGGAAAGGGTTAATTGGCTCAGAGATGTGGGTCCTGTAAACAGATGCAGTTGCCATAGCAACCGGCTCCACCACTCCCGCTGGAAAAACCCAAGGTGGGGGGGGGGGGGGAGCAACAGACAGACAAACTGCCTGACGGACAAACGGGGGGGGCTAGATTGGGGGGGCAGGAGGAGAAGGAACAAGAATCCCAGACTTCCATCCCCCATCCCACCATTAAGATAGGGCAAAGGAAGAGGGGGGGGTCAGGGACCGACTGACATACCCACAGACAGGCGGGGGCGGTGGAGAAAGGGGGCCCCACCGGGAAGGAAGCCGACGCTGGTGGGTATTAATGGGGGCGAACAGAAGTCGACGGATGGGGGATAGCGGAGAGGAGGCTCCGAGTTTCCCCAGGGTTCTGAGGCCATCCACCCAAGCCCCCTCCCGCTCCGTGTGCCCCCCTGCCCCCCACCCCGCCCCCAGCCCCAGACCAGCCTTACGTGCCAGATGACAAAGAAGATGAGGGAGGCGCACAGCACCAGGGTGAGCATGTAGCAGAACGCGGCGAAGGTGAACGCCATGGCCCCCGCGCCGGGCGGTGGCCCGGGGGGCGCCAGCGCGGGGTCTGGGCGCAAGGGGACGCCCCCCGGCCCGCGCTTAGGGCCGACCGGGCATGGCCCGAGGGGCTCGAAGGACGCTGGCGGCGCGGCCGGGACCCGGGCCGCGGGGCCGTGGAGGGCGCGAGGCGCGGGCCGGTGGGCTCGGGGGGCGCGTCCGCTGCCGGCTGCCCGGGCCGCGATCGCTCATCCTGCGATCCCTCGCCCGCGGCTCCCTCGCTCTCCAGCCCGCGAAGCCGGCGGGGCGGAGCCGGGGGCGGGGCCGCCGTGCACCGGCCTCGGGCGGGGCCTGGGCTCAGCGCGCCGGGCCCGCCCGACCCGCTTCCCCGCCCCAAGTGCCCACCGCCACGTACCCTCAAGAAGACGCAGACCTAGACCTGGATGTACATCCCTGCCACCGTCACACAAGCAACCCATCACGGCCACCCTCGGTCCACTTGGACCAGCACACTCCCCTATCCTTGCACAGCGCACTCACTGAGCGCGGGAGCCAAACTGAGGTCCTAAGTGCGAAGGACTCATCCGAGGAACCCAGAGAGGGGGCTGAACCTGGTGCGAGTCAGGTGCGATGGGGTATGTCTGTAGAGTATACTGAGGACCCCTGACCCTGGCTCTGCCCAACTCCATGTTTGAGACAAAAACCCCGTGTGGTGTTGTCGGTGGCTAAAGGTATTTGCTGATGCCGCCTGCCTGCCTCCCAGAATCGTGCTGGGCCCTTGGGGACAGCCCACAGCAGCAAAAGCAGGCAGCTTTCCTGGCCCCAGTATGTGGGTCAAGGTCTTTTGCCAGTAACCCTGGACAGAGAGTTCAAGCTAAGACCCCTGTGTACCTCACCACACCGAGATGCAGTTCCACATCCCATCCCGAGGCAGTCTCCCACGACAGACCACACACAGCCACCACAACTTCCTTGCAAAAACCCTCAGCTCACCCGAGGGCCAGTGAGATTTATTGTTTTTTTTTTTTTTTTGTGTCCTTTTCCATCTTTCCCCAAGTGGCTTTTCCTTGCAAAATGCCTGACATAATACCAGAGGGGAACCTGGGAGTAGGCCTCCCCACCCAAGGGGCAGCTCAGGGATTTAAATACAAGCTGAAGAGGAGGGGATGGCAGGGCACAGTTTGGGTGGGACAGGCAAGAGACAGCACAAGGGACATGGCTTCTTAGGTAGAGACCAGATTTGTTTTCTGCAGGAAGAAGCTGTGCCAGAGGGCAAGGGGGTCAGGATCCTGGGTTTGGAAGGGGTGAACAGAGAGACCCCCAACCCTGGGTTGCACCCATATTTCCCAGAGAAGTAGCAACACAAGATGAGGTTCTGCCCTCTTAGGCTCTGAGGGATGGGAGAATAAGCCTGATGTGCTGCCTCAGGGATAGGGAAAAGGTGCTGGCAGAGTGAGGGTTAAGGCTGGTGCCTGGCCTCTGGCACGGTGGGCCTTCCGCCTCCGCCTGCCACAGGGACAAAGGGGCACGGTGGGCAGGCAGCGCATAGGCCTGCCTCTGGCAGGGCAGGGGGAGGCAGGAGCAGGCTCCCTATGGGCTCAAGACATAGGCCCAGTGCAGCGGCCCACCCACCTGCCCAAGCCGTACTCTATCCCCACTGCAGCTGGACGGCTGGAGCTGTGAGTGTGGGAGGGGTGAAGGGAGGCAGGGAAAGAGTGGGCTGCTGGGCCCCTGTGACCCCCATGCCCATCCTGAGTTCCGGCCCAGGGCTCTGGATCCCAGGTCCTGGATCCCCTGGCCACACTGCTGGCCTCAGGCACTGACTGTAGCCATGGGCAGCAAAGGCCAGGGAAGCCCTCAGCTCTTGGGAAGGTGGGAGAGAAGGAAGAGAAGAGAAACCCAGTGCAGCATACATGGGGGTAGGGAGACAGAGCCTTTGTTCCAAAGGAAGGTGCATGGTGGGGCATCTTTTCAAGGTACCTAGAGGCAGCAGCAGAGCAGCCCCCCACCCCCACCCAAGTCACAGGTCCTGCATGAACTCCCTTGGGGGCCCTGACAGAACTGGGGTCAGGGCAGCAGGCAGATGGACCAGAGGGAGGTGGGGAGCCCAGGACACCCCAAAGCCACAGACTCAAGTGCCCCTGGAGAGGCAGAGGGAGGCACCTCTTGCTCCCTCCAGGGGCATCATCTGGAGAAGGTGCCCCTTCCTGTTCTACCCCAAGTGCCCCTCCTAGCAACAGCCACCACCAGCTGGCTTCACAGGGGTGCTGTCAATCTTGAGGTTGGGCCGTTCGCCCCCCGAGGCTGCGCCTGGCCCCATCCGCTTTTTGATCTCAGCAGCCATGGTCATGAACGCCTGCTCCACATTGGTGGCATTCTTGGCACTTGTCTCCAGGAAGGGGATGCCCAGGGAGTCTGCAAACTCCTGACGAGGGGAGAGAAGAGAGGAGGAGGGGAGAGAAGGGTGAGAGGCAGAAGGCCCCAAACCCCTGGATGGCCTGGCCTGGGCCTGCTCACCTTAGCTGTGGTGTTGTCCACCACCTTTTTGGTGGTGAGGTCACTCTTGTTGCCCACGAGGAGTTTATTGACATTCTCACTGGCATAGCGGTCAATCTCCTGCAGCCACTGCTTCACGTTGGCATAGGATTCCTAGAGGGCCCAGGGTCCAAAGTTATTGATCTCCCAACTCCCACCCCTCTCCAGGCCTGTAAACAAGAATCCTTTCAGGGAGAGATGGGAGCTGTGGGCTCAAGGATCCAGAAAGAAGCCCCCTCTCCTGCTGTTCTCCATCTGGGACCCCAAAATCCAGGCCCAGCACAGCCACGTTGCCTGCCATCTGACTGTGCCTTCAGCAGCTCTCTCTGAGCCACTTCCAGGCCTAACCATATGTGGGAGCCAATGGCAGCAGGACAGAGGCAGGTCAGAGTGAGACAGGTAGATATGTCTTAAAAACCCTTATGGGCTTGGAGCCTAGTGGGAGGTGGAGGTCTTTAAAGGGGAGCCTTTTGAGGGTGCAGAGCTGAACACTTTTCCTATTTCTGCACCAAGATCCTCATCACTGGGCCTTAGACTCTCCGAGCAGCTTGAGACCCACCAAGTCAAAGGGCAGAACTTCTAGGCTAAGTGTTCAAGCTAGAGCTGCTTCTCTTCTTAGGGGACAAAGACAGAACTCATCCCTGGGCCTTCCCTAAGGCATTCAGAGGACAATGGAGGAACAGAACAGGACATACACAATGGCAAGATAGGAATGGAAGGCAGGTGCTGGGGAGCCCCAGGATTGTCTCTTGACTTCAGCCTGTAGGTACCAAATGGCCTTCTGCAGGAAAGGTGCCAGCTATGGAGACAGCATGTGCCAGGTCACAGACCAGGAAGGCATGGTGTCTTTAGGGAGCAAGGAGAAGTGGGATGTTACCAGGACACAGCCCTGAGTTGGGGAGGAGAGGAGCAGGCAGGCCAGAGCTCAAAGGGTGTTAGCCTGGATAAGACTGGGAACACCAGGAGCCAGTGGGGGGTCTCTCGCAGAAGCCGCAGGATCAAACCTGTTCTGGGAAAATGGTCCAGACAGGATGTGGAGGCCAGAGAATCAGCAAGAAGACAGAGACCAACTGGAAGGTAGTTGCTATAATTCGGAAAAGATGTGGAGTGCAGTGGGGGAGCACATAGGCCTAGCATCAGGTCATCCTGGGTGAAGCCCTGGCTTAGACATTTACTGTGTGACTTTAGGTATATCACGTGACCTCTGTGAGCCTCAGTTTCTTTTTTTGAATAAATAGTACCTCCCGGCAAGGCTGTTGTTTGCATGAAAGAATGAATACAAGCCTGTCTCATAACAAGTGCTTAATTAGCAAGTAAGGCTATTATCCTCATCACTGCTATTATTATGAGGGGACAAATTTGAAAGACATAATGGTGAGAGAATAAAGGGGCCTTGAGACACACTGGATTGGGGAGGGAAGAGTTTTCTGACAGGGATTCTGTTACAAAGATAAAGATGCAGGAGAGGATTTGGGGAGAGAAGATGAGGCCAATATTGGACATCTGAGTTCTGCAAATATCTGAGGCTGAGGAGAGGTATCAAGGGCAGGAAAGGTTATGCTTAAAGCTAGGAACCCTGGGTGTCAACCTTGGCTTTGCCCTTCCTGACTGGGAGATCAGGGGCAAGTTACTTAACACCTCTCCAAGTGAGTTTCCTCATATGGAAACACAGACTGCACCCTTAAGTTAACTAGGTAAAATAGTGAGATTTGAATTAACACAGACACCAAGTGCCAGCAGAAGCACAGACACAAAGGAGGGTATCTACAGTGAAAGCTGAATAGACATCACAGAAGACAAGACAGAAGCCAAATCAAAGAACTGGCCAGAACCATGTAGGATAGTAAGGAGGAAGCCAGGGCCAGAGTCAGAAAGCAGAAAATATGGAATTGGGGGACAATACAGAATAAACCATAAAAAACACTGAAGGGGCTTGAGGTGGAATTCAGTGATATGAGTGTGTGTAAAGCAGAAGGTGGAGCACTATCGATAGTCCACTTTCCAAGAAGAGAGAAGAGAATGGAGTTAAAAGTCACAGGAGGTCAATCAGGGTGAGAAGTGAAACAAGGTCACTGCATTTGGCAGTCAGTCAGGAGGGCCTAGGTCCATCTAGCTTACCCCCCAGCTTGTTGTCCACAATAAGTGGCATGAATCCTCGGTGAGCAGAAAAGCCCTACTGCTCCTCAGAGCAGGGACTCTCTCAGCTCGGCGCTGATGTAAACTCTCATGTCTCCAGGGCCTGGCCCCTATTAAACAACAAGGTTTGGTAGGAAAAAAAAAAGCAGGTGGGATCCAGAGACCAGGCTTTCTGCCTCTGCCACTGTACTAGCTGCAGGGCCCTAAGCGAGATACCTCACCATCCTGAACCCAGGTCCTCATTTGTAAGATGGGAACATGACATAGATCTCTTACTAGCATTAAAAGGCAATATGAAGCCAGACAGTGGCACACTATAGTCTATAGTTCCAGCTACTCAGAAGGCTGAGGCAGGAGAATCACTTGAGCCTAGGAGGTCACAGCCTGGATAACAGAGCAAGACCCCTCCCTTATCAAAAAAAAAAAAAAGCAACTCTAAGGCTGTGATCGATTCTGTAAAGTAAAAGACATTGTAGGCTTAATTCTGCCTGCTGCCATCCACCTCTACTGCTAGTGACATGTCACTATATTAGACACAGAGTTCCTGGACCTCTGGGCCCTAAGCTTAGAGCTCCCTCGCTTACTTATCTAAGGCCCTTCAATTGTTCCCCCTTCAATTGTTCTTCACATAGGAAGCCATGGGCCCAGCACAGTGGCCAATCAGCTGACTAAACCCCCACAAAATAGGTGACTGGAAGGTCTAGAATGAGGTGGTGGGAGGAAGTGTGAGGCCTGGTTCTGCAAAGACCCTGCAGCAGGGATGTGAGAGGATCATTTTTGTGGCCACTCCACTCCTTGTGAAATAAGTTTGAATATAAATGCTTCCCCTTTCTGGGGAGCATCAGCAAAGAGAAGACAGAAGAATAAAAAACAAGAGTCAAAATCTTAAACCCAAGGAGGCAAAGCTGGGGAGGGTAAGTCTGGGAGTACCTGGTCAGTGACGTCATACACCACGATGATGCCATGAGCCCCCCGATAGTAGCTGGAAGTGATGGTCCGGAATCGTTCCTGACCGGCCGTGTCCCACTACGACATAGTAGGGAGAGGGGCTGGTCAGTCTGAGTCCTCCCCTTCTAAGACACATGCCTCTGTCCCAGGGACCGGGGAGGAACCACACTCACAATCTGAAGTTTGATGGTTTTGCCATCCAGCTCAATGGTTCGGATCTTGAAGTCCACTCCAATGGTGCTGATGTAGCTCTCTGTGTATGTGTCATCCTGGAAGGTTGGGGCCAGTGAAAAGGCCTTGGTGAATGGGCCTTTTCCTATATGGAAATTGTCCCTCCAGCTCTCTGTCCTGGCTGGGCTCCTAGCTGCCAAACTCCTGTTCTGAGCACCCCAACTTGCCAACCATGTGCCCTTGTTCAGTCAGATGCGCTGCACTGCTAGCAGATGCTGCAACCTCATCCTTAGTTCCCTTGTTTCTCCTTGCCCCAGTCCTCAGCCAGGACCCCAGATAGATGGTATGGGAGGCTTCTTACTCACAGCAAACCGCAGGAGCAGGCATGACTTGCCCACGCCCGAGTCACCAATCAAAAGTAGCTTAAACAGGTAGTCACTGGAGAAAAAAGACAGGAAGGTGTGAAGGAAGGCAGGAAACCCAGCTGCCATCATCCTGAAGTCACTATTATAGCATTCCCCCCACACCATAAAGCATGTCTTGATATGGTGCACTATAATGCTCACCAGTTATTAGAATTCAAACACCCCCCGCCCCAAAATAATCTAACCCATACATAGCACCCTCAGCTTGCTAAGTCCCACTTTATGGAAAAGGAAACTGAGACAAAGAGGAACATGACTTGTCAAGAATTGCAATCAGTGACAAAGCTGGCATCCTACCCTGATTCCTGACAAACTGTGGTTCTGTCCACTAGGAGCTATTTAGGGAACCCCCACTGTGCCCTGTGGTATACCCATCTAGGCAGGGAGTCCCCAGAAGTGGAAACTAAGGCCCATCCCAGAACCAAATAAGTGAAAAAGCAATGTAAAGAGCCTGATGTGAAGTCACCAAAAAGAGTTGGTCAACAAGTGGCAATGATAACAGCACTTAGTACTTACTGAGCTGTGACTGGCTCTGTGAAAAGTACTTCAAGTGCATCTCTTGTTAAATCCCTGACAGTCCAAGGAAGTCAGTGTCCTTATTCCCAAACTAATGGGGAAACCAGAGGTCAAAGAAGGGAAGTGACTTGCCCTAAGTTACACAGCTGACAACTCTGAGACTTGAAACCAGGCCTGTCAGACTCCAGTCTCTTTGAGGGCCTGCCGGTTCCCTTCTCTGTTCCCCCTCCTAATTCGGCTCAGAGCTTCACCCTTCCCCAAGGAAATCTGAGGCCTGGAGCTGGAGGAGAAAAAGGAAGTGGCAAAAGAGGAAGAAGATAACTGATACTTGGGGAAAACTAGAAGTGCAGGGCGTGAGATGTGGTCCACCCACCCGCAGGGGGAGGTGACCAAGAAGTGAGGAGTCTAAGGACTACAGAATCCCACTGCAAAGGGAAAAGCAAATCTCACATTCCCCTAAACTTCTCCACAGTTTGACAACGGAGGGAAAAGGTGTGACGGTGGCGCTGGAGGGCTAAGCAAAGGTGAGAGGGCAGGAAAGGACGGACTACCAGGAACAACAGAGCAGCGGGACCCAGACAAGGGCGAGGCGGCAGCTCCGGAGGGGAGGACCTCAAGGGGACGCGAGCCAAGTGGCGCTCCGGGCCTCCCGCGTCAGGTCGGCCCGGGGAACCCGACTCCAGAAGAAAACGAAGGGCAGAAGGATTCACAGCCGGGCCTAAAGCGCCCAAGTCTGAACCAGGGCCCCGGGATTATTCTGACAAGCTGCAAACCACCGGGACTGTAGTCAAGCAGCAGGTGGGGAAACTGAGGCCTGGAGAGACTGGAGCTGCGGAGTCACCTGACCGAGAAGGCCTAGTAGGACCGGTGCCCTCGGCTGCAGGTGCTGCCCCTCAGGGCCACCGCCCTTGGGCTGCGGGTGCCAGGACTCGGGGTGTGGAGCCGGGGTCCTGGGGCCCACGGGGGGAGGGGCAGGACCCGGATGTGGGGGGGGTCAGCGGAAGAGGGACCCGGATGTAGGGGCGCTGCGCCGTCCTGACCCAGGCCAGACACCCCGGTAAGCTTATAGCCCCGTACTCGGGATCGAGGCTGCCCCGGGCGGCGCGGGCGGGGCTCACTCACTATTCGGGGTTCATGGCGGCGGCGGCGGCCCGCTCGGTCGCTCCCAGTCAGCTCTGCTCCGCCTCCCGTTCCAAGATGGTGGCCGCTCCGCCCCAGAGGCCCCGCCCGCGCCGCGCAGGCGCAAACCTTTTCGACTTGGGTTGCGCCGCGCTGCTTCCCGGAACTTGTAGTCTGCCCGAGTGTGCGACTCGCCGCCGCTGCGCAGGCCTAACTCCGAGAGACACAGCAGCCGAGCGCTCCCGTCGCTGCCGGCGCACTGACTTCTGGGGCTCGTGGTTCAGTTCCTGGACGGACCTGGCGGGAGGACCTAGCTCCGAACCCGGCGGCGACTCACTGGTGCACCTCAGTTTTGCACTTTTCACTTGTCTAACGGAGGCAGCCATCCTCACCCTTTTGACTTGCTGGATGTGAGCATTAAATGAGAAGGCGCGTGGTTGCAGCAGGAGCAGTAAAATTTTATTTATCCAGGGTTCTTCGTGTGCTGTACACTTTCAGCCCTACCGAGGCTCTGGAGGAGGTCATCACCCACATTTCTTTCTTTCATGCGGTGCTGGGGATAGAACCCAGGGTCTTGTGCATGATTATGCAAGCACTCTACCCCTAAGCTACATCCCCAGCCCCATAACTCACTTATCATACATGGGAAATCGAGTCCCCGAAAACTCGGATTCAAGATCAAACAGTATTAAGGTGCAAAACTTACCAAAGCTCGAGCTCTTAAGAACCCCAGAGGTAAATGTTTTAGAAATCCCGCACTCGTGGCACCCCCACACAGTTCCGGGGTAGGGGCAGAGTATCTGGGCTCCCGCATCGCAGGACGCACGCGACAGATACAACACACATACACACACACACTCCACTCCACGCGACATCTCCCCCCGCCCCCGATATGCTAGGGACCTCCCCTTTAAAACAAGCTTAGTACAGATTCAAACCGTCTTTATTTCTACAGCAACATCTGAAAATAGCGACCACCTCATCCCTCAACTGGGGAAGTCCCTCCTGCCACCAGGGGCTGTCACCGGCCCTCCCGAGAAGCTGCAGGCGCGGGAGGAGGCGTGGCAGGATGGCTCAACGGGCGGTGCCTGGTCTGGGCCTGGCAGGAGGGGCAGTGCATAAGGCCGGGATGAGGGGCAGGGCCCGGCGGATGGAGGATGGGCTCGGGTTCAGACCCTCAGTCCTGGGGCACCGGGCAAGGCGCGATGGGACGTATCCCTCGGAGGCCAGAAGCGCGAGGAAGTCCAGGAAACCCTATGCGGAGGCGCCGCCCCTAAGAACATGGAGCATGGGAGATACCACCGCGCGGAATGGAGGTGATTAAGGCCTGGGCGGTACCACTGGAGAAGGGCGGGCGAAGGGAAGCCCAGGGAGTACATGGACTGAGGGGTGGGGCGCGGCCAATAACTTATTTCTCTATATACAGAAGCAACGGCCGGTGGGGGCGGGGATCGGGATGGAGGGCAAGAGTGCTGAAGGTTGGGCAGGTGCTTAGTGTTCTCCAGTCCAGGATCTGGGGAGGGCAGGACACCGAGTTATTTTGGAGACTCCAGCCAGCCCTTCCCTCTGGCCTGTATCCTAGGGAAGAGGGGCCCCTGCTGGAAGGAATAAATAAGGGTAGAGCTGGAGCTGGCAGGCCCGGCCTCCAGGGCTCAGGCTGAGATGACAAGGGGAGAGGTTACCCTGAGATTGAACAGAAAAGACGGGGGTTCTTGGGAGAGACAGGCAGGACAAGCAGCAGGCCCATGCGCAGGGCAGGGGGTAGGGGCTATGCCCGGTGGAGGCTCTGATGACTGGCTCCCCCTTCAGGATTAGCCCACCAGGGAGCTTCGACGGGAGAGGTCCATGGAGCTGGAGCTGAGGGTGCGGCTGTCAGAGAGACCTGTACCTCCAGGCTGTGGGCAGAGGGGTAGGTGACTCAGCCTTATGCTGCTGGGATTGTGCTTCCAGGCCCCAAGGGCCTGACCCAGCCATTCCTTTGTAGCAGACACAGCCTGTGTCCCCCAGCTGGGGAGAGGCAGGTCTGGCCCAAGGCCACACCCCAGTGTCTGACACTCCTGTCACTCCACGGTTACTATGTTGGCACTGGCCCTGTACATGTCCACCCCAGGGCAGGGGCTGTGTTCTCATCTGTCTCCCTGCTGTCCAGTCCAAAGCAGGCCTGGGACAGGGACAGAACATTGCTTAATCAAGAGACATGCTCCAGGAGAAGCTGGGCAGGAGCACTTGCAGACTTGGGACCCAGGGCAGGGGCCTGGGCCTCAGCTGCCCAATGCCCAAGACCCTCTGCCCCTACCTGGACTGGCTCTTCCACGCTCTTGTTGAGGAAGTTGAGGGAACTGGCCCGCTTCATTCTGAGGGTAAAAGATGACCGGGATTTGCCCATGGTGGGATTGGTCGGGGAGGAGTCAGGTTGGGGCTGGGAAGGGGGAGGGAAAGCACATTTGGTAGTGGTGGTGCTGCATTTGGATCATGAGCTTATCTGGGGTTGTTGGGTAGTTCTGGAGAGGCTCACCCTGGGTGGGGGTTCACCTGGGGTTAGGGGTCTCCTGGGGGCCACCCCCTTGCAGCTTCTTCACCAGCATCTCACTGCTGCGCCTCAGAGCATCCCGGAGCTTCCCAAAAGAACCACTGCGCCGCAATGAGCCGCTGCCATCCTGTAAGTGACAGGTCAGTCTCTAGGCTACACTGGCTACACAGACTCCCAGGCCACCCCAGTCCCCACACTCACCCCACTCCACTCAGCTGTAGGCCCAGTCTCTTCGAGGTCAGACTCAGACCGAGGCCCAGCACTTCCAGCCACATCTCTGCTGCCACGGCGGTCTCCCCGCCCACCACTGCCATCTTTCAGCAGTTCTACCACTTTAGTCTGGCTTGCAGGGTCCAGGCCCTGAGAAAGGAGCAGGGAGCATAAGGCCCTGATTGGAACACATACAGGGCCTCCTAGATCCCCATCTGCCCTCCATCTGCATGGAGCCCTACCTGCTTGCGGCTGCGGCTGGCACAGTCCTCCAGGGTGTGCGCAGCTTCCAGCTTGCCCTGGCGCCGGTACAGGGCCCCCAAGCTGCGCAGGGTGGTGTTGACTGTGGGGCTGTGGACAGACAACAAAAGAGTTTCAAACTCCATATTTCTCTGACCCAGGGCCTTTCTGGCATCTAGTCCACACTGAGCCCTGAAGAACCACCCAGTCATTGAGAATCTAGCCTCTCCCATCTGTCCAGTCCTGTTCTAGCCCACTGGTATCTCACTTCTTGGGAGAATCACCCCAGGAATGGGGACCTGGCCCAAGGCCCTCATGGGATATTGCCACCAACACCAAAAGGTCTTGGTGCAGGAAGCTTCCTTGGGACAGGTGGCCTGTGACCTAGTACTTGAAAGATGAGCTGGCAGAGGAAAGGTGTGTGTCCTGGGGAGGGGTAAGAGGATAGAGTGTAGAGCCTGGGCCTCACCTCACCCTGGATGCAGTTTTCTGCTATCTGCTCTAATCCCAGCCTACTCCTGCCCTCACCTGTCAACCTTACAGGCTTTGTACCAGCTGCCATACTCCCCATAGGGGGCGCTGTCCCGGCGTTTATCCTGGGGGAAAGTTCAGTCAGTTGGGGAGGTAGGCGAAGGCCCTCCCCTCCGAATATCCCAGTCTTGGGCCTTCCCCAGTCCTGCTCACAGAGCTACCTTGCTCTCCTCCCGTTCCTCAGCATGCATCCAGATGGGCTTATTGTCCCCTGTGGGGAGAAAAGGGATTGTCACCAGCCTGCTGGATTGGATTGGGTTGGACTGGGGTCTGGGGAGAACAGGACTACCCAGGAAGAACAAGGATTCTGCTTTGCTGAATAAATGAACAACAACAACAACAAAAATCATCACTGACTCTCCTCTGGACAGAAATGAGCAGGACACAGGCCTGCATGCAGAGGCTTGTGACTGGGGCAAAGCAAGCGTAGAGGGCAGATCTTTACACAACTAGGACCAGAGCCCAAGACAAGTGGTAGGCCTAAAAGATGGATCAGCTTCTAGGGATCTGGGAGCAGGGAATGGCTGACCACTGGGGGCCAGAAGGTGATTTCTCAGAAGAGGGTACACTTGGGCCAGACCCTCAAGGTGAGTAGGAGTTGCCTGGTGGAGAAAGGGAAGACTGAGCAAAGAGCATGGGGCTTGCCAAAATATGCACAGCTATGGCTGTCCAGTTGGTAGGTGTGCTCCATGGGTACCATCCACAGGTGAGGCTGGGCCACCACCCAGACCTTAGGTGTAAGGACTTGCCCAGTAGAGGTAGTATCCGAGGCATTCATGGCTGAGTATGCATGTGCTAGATGAGCTAGAGGCACATGGACTCACCATTGACAGAGCCAAACTCCTTCTCGTGAGCACGGGTGAGGATCTCCTTGTATAGAGTCTCTGCATCCTGGTATTTGCCCTGTTTCAGGTAACAGGAAGCCTGGAGAGGCAGGGCCCCAGGGAATGAGCAGAGTGAAGGGAGCTGGGCTTTCCCTCTTCTTCCTCCCTGTCCCCAACCCTCCATCTCTCCTGCTTAGACTCCAGCCTCAAGGTACCAGGTTGTTCTTGGTCTTGGCCACATTGGGGTCATCAGGCCCAAGGCGGGTAGCATAGATCTCCAGCGCCCTCCGGTAGTAGTATTCCACCTCCTCTGCTTTGCCCTGGTTCTGGCACAGCAAGGCCAGATTGCTGAGCTGCTTGGCTACATCTGGGTGAAACTTACCCAGGACCTGAGGTAAGAGAAGGGGCCAGTGGCTGGGCTAAGGGTGTCTGGCTAGTTCCCTACCTGCCCAGCTCTAACCCTGCTGGCTCCCACCTTTTCCCGGATCTCCAGGGCCCGCTTGCACAGTGGCTCAGCCTCTTTGTACTTGCCCCGCTTGCCATACAGAACTGCCAGGTTGTTCAGTGTTGCAGCCACCTGCAGGGGTAGAACATGGAAGGACCTGACCCTGGGCCTCACTTGGCAGGGACTTGGGGATCTGCAGGAAGTGGAGGACAACCCCCCCCACAACCCATGCCCTTCACTCACAGCTGGGTGGTCCTTCCCCAGTGTCTTCTCCCTAATGGCCAGGGCATCATTGAGCAGGTGGGCAGCCTCCTTGTACTTGTTCTGGTCCCTGGGAGCAGGCAGGAAATGCTTAGGGTTGTCCTCCAGCCAAGGCCTGTCCCCAGGGGCCCATGATCCCTGCAGTCACTGATGTGTGGCATGATACTATGATTCAGTATTGGGAAGCCTGGGCAGCCCCTGCCCTCTAGGCACTTGGGGGCTTTGGCAATTCACTCACAACTCACCAGGGGCCCAAGCTTTCAAATGCACCCTGCTGTCTAGTCCCCAGTGCCCTGGTTTGTGTCACTCTTGTGTTTTGGGCCAACTCATTTTTCATAGAGTCCGTACCCAAGGCTGGGTACCTAAGCTGGACCAACTCCCTGCTTATGCCCAAATCTTTCTTCTCCACTAGATTGAGAGCCCCACTCCATGAAGGCCTTTCTTCTCTCTCAGCTGCCCCTTGAGGCCTAAGTCCTGGTCCCAGCAGGCATTGAGAGTTAGTGACCCAGGGCTGGAGTCGTCAGGAAGGATGCAGGTGCTCCCACGGATGACTGGCAAGAAAGGGCCCTCACCTATAGACCAGTGCTAGGATGTTGAGCATGGTGGCCACATCGGGGTGGTCATGGCCTGATGTCTTCTCCAAGTCCTCCAACGCCTGCTTGCAGAGTGGCACAGCCACCTCATAGCGGCCCTGAGCAGCGTATTGGATCACCAGGTTGTGCAGGGTACGGAGCCGTGCTGGTATTTCATAGCCTCCATGCTGAGCAGCCACATCCCCTCCTCCAGGGCTAGGGGCTGCAGGGCCAAGGGGCAGGTCAGATGTGCCATCTGCCCCTGGGCTGGGCTGGCACATGCCAGCTGTGCATTTTGCCCACCTAACATGTGGCCCTGGGCAAGTCATTCACCTCTGCCTCAGTTTCCCCGTATGTAGAATAGTCATCCCAGAGAAAATGGGTAGGGTCCTAGCTCCAACATTTCAAGCTGTATGTCCTGGAGCAAGTTCCCTAACCTCTGAGACTTAATCTTCCATCTGCAGAGTTAGGCTTCACTGTGTACTCAACATCCTGAGAGAGGCAAGCACAGCCCTGCTGGGCACTATCCTTCCTGTCTCTCCTCTGACCCTCAGAGCAGGCTGTGAGAGGAAAAGGAACTCTCCCAGTGGCCTCAGAGGAGCTAGTGGAGAGTAGGTGGAGTCAGGCCCGGTGGCTCCAGAGCTCTTAACTGTGATGTCTGCTGCTGGCAGAACTTAGAGGGTATTAAGATGCAACAGGGAAGACCTGCCTTTAAAGCACTAGTGTGCTGGGATGTCATTAAAAAAAGGGGAGAAAAAAGGCAAGAAAGAAGATAGCTGCCACCCCTCCCCATTTCCTGTGACTTCTGGGTCCCAAGGCCCAGGAATCAGCCTAACCCTTCCTTGCCCCAACCCAGAGCCAACTGCCCATCTGCACCTGGGCTCTGCTCATCCTCGTTGGGGAACAAGTCATCCAGAGAGTCTTTGGGAACATCCCCCTTCTCCTCCTGGGGAGGAACAAGGGACAAAGTGTCAGGGAGGGAGGCACAGGCAGCCAGTTGTCCCCAGCTGCCTCACCTGCCTGAGTCTCCTCGCTGGTTAGGACTCACATTGGGGGAGGTGTCCTCGTCCAGCTTTCGAATCTGGCTCATGAACAGCAGGTGTTGCTTTTCCTCCTCCAGCTGAGCCACTGCCTGCTCACTGCGTTGCAGCTTCTGCTGCGTCCCTGCCAGCTCCTCGCGCAGCCACTGGTTCTCCTGCACCAGCCGTCGCACTTGAGCCCGAAGCTTCTGCTTTTCTGATTCCACGGCACCCAGGTGGCTGGATAGTGCCAGGATCACCTGTGGTCAGCCAGATGCACATCAGAGCCCAGGCCACCCCCTGGGACTCCTGGGCTTGTGAAGAGCCAGTCCTGGCTCTGCTTGTGAGGAGCTGCAGGGCCTTGGGACTCAAGAGTTTCCCCCAACTCAAGGAAGATTCTCCCCTAGTCCCATAGTCCAAAGCTCAAACCCAGGAGGAGGTCCCTCAGTGCTACCTCTGGGATCCCTGAGATGCTAGACTCTCCTTTGTCTCTAGTGAGAACTGTACTTAACCCTCTGAAAACACAGCCACTCTACTACTGCTTCCTGCCCCAGGACTAGTACTTGCCCAAAGAACTCAGACAAGTGGCTGCCAAGTGATGAAAAGGCCTCATCCCAACTTCTGCTGAAGATCCCTCACAAGCCCTGAGGGTCTGTGGAAGCACAGAGGCAGGTAAGGGAATCCAGAGGCCTCAGCTCCACCTCCCCCCTCTCCCCAACCTCTGATTCCCTTCCTGAGCTTCCAGGCTCTTCCTGCCTTGGGGCCCTGGCATGGGCTCCACTCTCCTTTCTCAATATCTCATGGTCTTCCTCTTCCTGGTCACACTTTCCCTCCACGTGTGGCCTCCTTGCTGTGCTCTCCTGTTCCCCAACTGTGTGAGGCTTACAAGCCACGGGGAGTGGGACCCATGTGGCCATCTCTGCAACTGACAGCCAACTGGGAAAGGAATATGTTGCCCTTGCAGAGGTTAGGCAGTCTGAGATCCTGCTCTTTCTAATAGGTTAGCAAATGTTTAAGTGAAAGGTGTTTTCACAACCACAAGCTTTTAAAAAAATTCCCTAAACAACCTGGAAGTATATATAGCAGAGGCTATGATCTCTATTTTAAAGACAAGAAAACAAGATGATTCAACCTGCCCAGGATTCACACAGCCAGGCAGTGGCTTAGTCAAGATCTGGGGGAAACAAAACCCTTTCCAGAGCCAGGTATGGTGGTACACACCTGTAATCCTAGCAACTTGGGAGCTGAGGCAAGAGAACTGCAAGTTCAAGGCCAGCCTGGGTAAAACTTAGCAAGACCCTGTCTCAAAATAAAAAATAACTAAGCACTTGGGATGTAGCTCAGTATTAAAGCACCCTGGGTTTAATTGCCAGTACAGGGGTGGGGCTTTCCCAGAGTCTAAGTCCTTGTGAGTCTCAATGCCTTCTGGACATCTCTGTCTGCAAATGGTCTTGACAGCCCAATTTACAAGGGACAAAAGAGAACTCCTGACCCACCCAGGCTGTCTTGTCCCTGAACTTGCTTCTAACACAAATCTGAGTTCTGCTGCCCCCACTCCCTTATTTCATCCCCACATCCTGCTGGACCTACCTCTAGAATATCTAGAAATGGGCTAGTTCTCTCCACCCTTATGGCCATCCCTTTAGTCCAAGTGCCCTCCCTCATTTGAATGTGAGCAGTGGCTTTCCAGCAACATGCTACCTGCTTCCATCTCTGATACCAGGTTTATTCTCCATATCGCAAGGGGAGTTTTTAAAACCTAAGTCTATTTCTTGCCTGCTTAAAGTCCTTCCTGATTTCCTGAGAATAAAATAAAAACTAACAAGGCCATGAGTGTTTCCTGCCTTCTCCCTTTCTCCTTCCCCATGAAGCTCTAGTCACACAGTTCTCTTACTTCCCTCACAAGATCTTCCCTACCTCAGGACCTTTGTGCATGCAACTTCTCCCCCAACTCCCATTTATGGAGGCTGGTCCATTTCTTCCTTTGGGTCTTGGTTTAAATGTCCTTTCCTCAGAGAAATTATACCTGACCATTAGATAAGACCTCTGATTATAAGCTATCACAAGATCTTGCTCTCTATTCTTTAGAAAATTTATCACAATTTGTTACAATTAACTGTTTTTCTTTTTCTACCAGACTAGGGCAGGAATCTTGTTCTGCCTTGTTGAACCCTGTATCCCTGGCACTGACTTGTTGCCTGGCATATAATAAATCAGATAACTTAAAGTATTCATGTTACAATGAATGGGGGGGGAGTATTTCCTTAAAGATCTCCTTTCTGTTCTCCTACCCTGTCTCTGGGTGGGAGTGAGGGTGTTCAAGGTCTCCAGGGGCCGGCTGGGGTCTCCAAAGTGCACTTCTTATCTTTAAAAAATATTTATTGCAGTCCTAGCATGGGGCTCAAGGGGCCAGGTGGTTCTCTGCTCAGATACTGTTCCTACATTACCGAGATTCCTCTAGAAAACTCAACCCCTTCCATGACCTCCCACCTCGGCATCCCAGATGACCTACCTGGGCCTCCCCCAGCCCCAGCTCTATGGCCTCCAAGGAGCGGCGAAGGAGGAGGCAGCGTTCCTGAGAGCCTGGCTCGGCCTCGCTGGCCTCATGAGAGGCCAGGGGAGCGAGCAAAGCACGATGCTCCCCACGTAGGGTCTCTAATCCCTGGATGACGGCCTTGGTGCCCAGAACGATCTCATCCTGGCTCAGCTTCTCCTCCCGCGGAAGCACCATCGTGGCCATGGTCGCGCCGCCTGTGATGGCGAGGGGCGGGCAGGCGGGCACCGGGCCTAGGGCCACACCGCTGTCCACCCCAGATTTGGTAAACACCGGCGGTCCCGGGCCGCCTGGGTCCTTGGGGTGTCCGGATCTCCCAGCAGGCCGCCTGCACCGTGCCCGCGCTCGGCCTATAGGGGGCGCGCCAGGCTTGTCTTGGCCAGGCAGACGCAATGCGGTGCGGCCGGTGAGGCTGGACCCCGATTCCGACTCAGACCACCAGCTCTTGGCTGGCTTAGGCCGCCCAGTCTCGGGGCGTTCCCGGAACTCCTTCAATTAGGACACGGATCAGGGAGCCGTACGCGGATCGTAGGGGTTCACCCGGGTGCGGGGAGCCCCGGCCCCTCCGGGCGATCCGGCCCCAGCCCCAGCCCCAGGGATAGCCCCCTCCCCCACAGGCAGCCCGAACTGCGGAGCCCCTCCCCCAGGGCAGATCGTTCCCACGGAGACCCTCCCCGTAGAGAGAACTCAGGTCTCAGGTTTCGGGAATGAGCCTCTAGGCTGCGCCCACGACGACCCCTCCCATAGGCTGGTGGGACGCCCAACAGACCCTCCCTAGAAAAAGCCCAGCTCCCGCCCCCGAGCCCCCAGGACCGCGCCCCCTCCCCGCCGGCTAGCCTGGTCCTCCAGAAGGCCGGGCCCACGACCCCTCCCCTAGGCTGTCCGCAGCCCCTCCCCTTTAGGGCCTGACCGGGTTTCCTGGACCGATCGGCCCGCGCCGATCTGCGCCTCTGGCTCCGCCCGGCTCCGGTTCCGGTTCCGGCTCCGGCTCCCGCCCCGCTTCACCGGGATCCGTGGCCGTGAGCCGATCCCGCTGCCTCCATCCCACCGGCCTTCCCAGCAGTCCCCGCGCCGCCTTAAAGGTGAAGCAGCTACCTCGGCGCGGTCGGAGGGGGCGAAACACACTCCTCCGCGGGCGAGTTGCCTTAAAGGAGCACGCGGGCCAGGCCGGCTCCCAGAGCTGGGCCACCCGGGGGCGGGGCGGGGCCAGCGAGAGGCGGGGCGGGGAGGGGCGGGGCTCGGCTCGCTCACAGCTCGCCTGCGGCGCAGGTTGGCAGCGGTGGTCAACGCTGCTGCTCCTGCCGGAGGTTCCGCGTCTGTGAGGCTGTGAAACGCCGGAGGCAGCGGGTGTGCTCGGGTGGAGGTGCTCGGGAGTTGGTAAACCGAATGCACTTAGCGCGGCGGCCTGAGAGACTGACGGAGAAATTGAGACACAGGGAGAAGACCCGACCCCCAAGGGGTAGTCCACATTACTGAAGCATTTGCCACTTCCTGGGCGCGTAATGTGTCGGGCGCTTTGGTACCTTAAATGTATGACCCCGACGTTCACAAAGACCCATTGTAGTGGGTGCTGCTGTTATCCCCATCTCACAGGTTCGAGATGTTCATTTATTGCTCATTTATACTTAGAGATGTGCCCCAATCCCCATCCCACTTTCGGAACTGTCCACGTTCTTTTTTTTTTTTTTTTTAAGTTAATTTTATTTTTTTTAAAGTGAAGATTTATGAGTTATGTCTCTTTTTTTTTTTGAGAGAGAGAATTTTTTAATACTTATTTTTTAGTTCTCGGCGGACACAACATCTTTGTTTTGTATGTGGTGCTGAGGATCGAACCGGGCCGCACGCATGCCAGGCGAGTGCGCTGCCGCTTGAGCCACATCCCCAGCCCCTGTCCACGTTCTTGTAGGTAGCTGAAGGGCTGCTTCTTGGGGAAAGGGACGCAAGCTTCCTGCCGTAAGGGACAGGGGTGGCAAATGGACTGGTGGGCATAGGTGGAGCCAAGACTCGTGCCCCCGTGGGTATGTTACTGGCTTGGCAGGTTCTCGTGCTCTCCAGCAGAATATTGGAAGACTTTGGTAAAGGCATAGCTGCGGCTGGAGCAAGACTATTGGGACGTCTTGCTCCAGCAGAAGGGAGAAGCAGCACTGGCCAAGGGAGTGTCCAGCTGGCTCTCAGAACACGGAGCTAGTTTTATTCACGTTAAAAGGTTGTAGGGGTGGGCTGGAGTTTAGGAATGTTAATGGTGCATTTCAAAAGGTGTTTTGTTTTGTTTTTTTCCTGGACGAACAATTCAATTTTGAGGGAGGGGTAGTCAGTCGACATCCTGGAACCAAATGTCGCATTTCTCATATATCATATGGATGCTGAGTCCTGCATGAACATCTTTGCCTGTGATGAGGTTGAGTAGCTGTGACTGTTGAGAGACACATGGGTGGGGAGTGGAAGAATTCACACACATCATGGAGTAACAAGTTGAGGGTCCTGGGAATTTGCTGTTTCCCTGACTTGACAGTTTTATCCTTTATGTGGATGCATGTTCTTGTCATGCATGGTGAAGGTGTAATTAATGTGCTTTGAGGCAGATGAGACAGAGTGAGAGGGTGGGGAAAGCAGAGTTCTTTTAGTGGCTAACACATTATGAGTTAAGGACTCTGGAGTGTACTCCCAATACTTAACTCACTCCCTGCTGAGTTTTTACTCTCTTATGGAATGTTGCTTTCCATGGGGGTCCCTGACTTTCTCAGGTGAACTCCACAGCAAATGCTGTTGGCCAGATGATCAAGACAAAGTGAGTGTGTGGTTTGTGATGGAATAACTTGGGACTTAGATGTCACCTCCTCGATTTCCCAATCCCCTTCTAGAGTAGTCCTCTATGCCCTGTGGTGCATCTGCTTAAGGCTCTAGGATTAGCCTTTCTGACATTTTTCTTGTAGGTTTGCTTCTCCCACTGTAATGTAGACCTTGAGCTGCCCTCTTGTTCATTCCGGTGCAGCTCTTCATGGAGACACAGCAGGGCTCAGTAAAAATTGGTTTAGGAAAAGTCAGAAGGTTTACAGGTGGTACCTAAAGTTCGTCTGTTCTCAGACACTAAACAGGGTTGGGCCTGGATAGTACTCTAATGGGAGAAAAAAGGAGGAAACCTATTGGGCTTACAAACTCCCTCCAAACCCAGGTACTGATCTGATTCTCTGTAACCCTGTGTTGCCAGCTCTCCCTCCCCACCCACACTAACCCCACCACTTCTAAGTTGACAGCACTAGGAGGTGATGGCAGGATGACCTCCCAAGGGACAAAAGCTTTACAATGAGGCCTAATGTCTATGGGAGATCTGGGGTATTCCTACAAATCAGTATTCCCCTCCTAGAGTTTGTTAGGTTCAGCATGCTGGGGGTGTTGGAATCCCCCCCATAGCTCCATCTTTGGCAGAGGGGTGGTCTTCTGCCATAGATAAGTCTTAAAGGTTAGAAGTTTTTCCTTAACCCCCAAAAGTGCCTTTCTTCAGTGCTCACAGCTTATCTTCTCCCTATAACCAATAAAGAAACTTGGAGACAGGATGGCATCTCAGTCTTCTCTCTACCTGGTTTGGTATCTCTTTCCTTAGCCCTACTGCAGTCTCCTGACCCTTCCCCATCCCAGTTTTTCTCCTTTCTGTTAATCCAGACCTTGCTTAAAAAGTGGTGCTGTACCCAGGATCCAATGATCCAGACAAGGAGTGAACTGTACCAACCACAGAAGGACATCCCCACTTTGAAAAAATATGCTGCCCCAGGGGCTGGGGTTGTAGCTCAGTGATAGAGTGCCTACCTAGCATGTGGGAGGTCCTGGATTTGATCGCTAGCACCACAAAACATAAAACACCATGCCATCTTTCCACCTCTGAAACTGAATTCACGCTAACACTGACAGCCACCACAGGTAATACTCATGGTCAGCTAAGACCCTGGGTACATCCACTCCATCACATTGAGTTGGTCCTTCTCAGTCTTGTACTTCTGCCAATGATTTTTCTTTCCAGCTTGTTTATACTTTCACATGATGTAGCATTCAAAAGGCATATACACAAGTTGCAGGGAAATGCAGTTTTTCAGTCATCCAATGCCCCACCCCAGAGAAGCACCTCTGTTACAAGTTTACTATTTCTATTGATTATGCTAGTTGCATCAGAGCCCAGCTCATTTATCCCTGCCAATTTCAGCTGGTCAGTCTTCCTCTAGAGTCCCTGAGGAACCTGGCATCTGGTGTCCTTCAGTCCTCACATTGGCCATCTTCAAGCGGCACCCTGGCTATGGTTTGATAAGCCTACCTGTGTGCTCCATCAGGACTGCACCCCAAACTTGCCAACATGTCCAGATCATAGGGAGAGAAGAATCTGGATCTAGGGCACCTTTATTTTCCTTAGTAAGACTGGGTTGCAGAAGCCCTTGGGGAACTTTGTTGGAAGTCTGTCCCTCCAGGACTGAGATTTGATGGTCCCCGGGCACCTCTTTTTAAAAACCTTTCATTGGTTCCTGTGATGTGCAGCCTGGGTTGAAAGGTGCTGTCTCAATGCCTTTGTTCTACAGGTAAGGAAGCTGGGGCCCAGTGAGGGGGAAGCAGCTCTCCAACGGAGGGAGCAGGGGCTTATATTTTTTATCCTGCTGTTCTCAGCGACCACTACATCCCTTTCAAATCTAGAATGCAAGTTGTTTTGTCCCCAAGAGTGTGTGAGGGAGACTGAACACACAGAAAGGAGATAAGAGAACTGGGACTAAGTTGCATGTTCACACCCATGCAAAAATACAGGTGCATACCCCTGACACAGCCTGAGGCAGGTTCACCCAGGGCAGAGGCACCCAGTGCCCACATGTACTTCACCTGCATCTACAGGCCTATGGGCTGCACAGAACATACCGGGTACGCACACTGCTACCTCTGCCTCCTTACCTGTGCTTTCTTTCTGCCTAATGAAGGAGCACATTCCTTTATCACCTTTTCCCAGGTAGGTAGAGAGCAGTTTTCAATCTCCCTTGATGGCTGGCTTTCTGTGGGTCCGCTGTGCCTCTCCTTAGGCGGCTGGCCCTGTGTCCCTGGTGCCTGGTGGAGGGAGGACTGGGCCTTTCCCTGCCAGTTCTTATGCCCTTATCTTGCTTTCAGCACTTAACCTTGCATTTGTTCAACCTTTTCAGCCACTTGCTTTTTATCTGGTCCTGAGGATTACACTGTGCATCTCTAGAGGGAAGACACTGTTCATCCTGCTCAGTCCTGCGCCTCCCCCGCAGCTGCTGGTCTCCTGCCAGGCTGCTGATGGCTGCTCAGTAAATGGAGAATGAACGAAGGAATCCGTGCCCATGCCTGATGGTGATTCAGCTCCTTCTGCCATTTTCTGCAGTCCTCAGCAGCCCCCTGCCCCTGTCCATGCCCGGGAACATTCTTGATACTTTTGATATTTAATGCTCTTCTCCCTGAAGATCACTCTCACTGCTTCTACCCTGTCCTTTCAGATCCTCAGAAGCACCCATCCCACTGAAATTGGCTTTCTTTTTTCCTCTGGTAGCTTCCCTCCTTTTCTTTGAGTGGCTGGGGCACTTTCTTCAACAATCTCATCCCCTTTGACACTTCTGTAGATTCACCCACGAGTGCTCAAGATTAATGGTTCCTTAAAGACCACCGTGTCCCCCTCTTCCTGAGGAGTCTTCCCACTTTTGCTTGTTAGATTCTTTCTACCACTGAGCCAAGATCAAGTCTGTTCTGAGGTCTCCTTAAAGTCAGTCCCTGGCTCCTGTCCCAGCAGCTATATGGCAACTCTGTACCCTTCCAGCCAGGATAGAAGGGTCCTTGCCCTGCTCAGTGGGAGGGAACATAGGGGTCAGACTCAGCCAAGGTCAAAGCTGTGTGTCTCCATTTTTTTTTTTTTTTAATTTATTTTTTAGTTCTCGACGGACACAACATCTTTGTTGGTATGTGGTGCTGAGGATCAAACCCAGGCCGCACGCATGCCAGGCCAGCATGCTACCGCTTGAGCCACATCCCCACCCCTGTGTGTCTCCATTTGTCAGATGATTAAAAAAAAAAAAAAGGCCCAAAGTTCTCACATTAAACCTGCACATAACAGACACTGTTCTTCATAATTATTTATTATCACCACCGCCAAGCTCACTATTTGACAGACCCTGTGTCAGGGAGCGGGAGTCTCTGCTTA